ACCACTATTCTTGAGCATTATCTGGATATTGTACCTCTGTATCACTACTGAAACAAGCACATTGTAACAACTTAAAGTCTTCTATCACATGTTATTGCCCTTCTTCTAATAGACTATAAAGCTGCTTCTACAGCCTTAAAACAGACTGGTTTACAACTAGTGTATGGTTGTCTATGATAGATATTATTACATAAGAAGTATACAAGATGTGTGACTGATAAAACACCAATTGCTCAAATTGAGGCCTGAGTATACTGAAGTCAACATGTGAAGTCCAAGTTGTGGCCCAAGTACCCCAAGTACCCCAAGTATATAGACTTGGGTCAAGTCCGTGTACTTGGGACCAAGTACATGGACTTGGGGCCAAGTACACAGACTTGGGGCCAAGTACATGGACTTGAGGCCAAGTACACGGACTTGAGTCCAAGTACACGGACTTGAGGCCAAGTACACGGACTTGAGTCCAAGTACATGAACTTGGGCCCAAGTATGGGTCCAAGTCCGTGACGTTTTCCTGATGTGGACGCGAGACCAGTTTAGAAACACGGCGTGGTGGGTATTGAAGAGACGTACAATAATTCATTCAATCACTTGGCTGCTTGACACGTCAATGGCGTGTATCTGAGCAGCAGCAGGCTTATTCAAAGCCGAGACGCATCTTGCCAGTGAAGCGGATTCCAGGAGGAGCAGGGAGCGTGTCCTAACGCGCTCAGAATGGCCGTAAATGAAGGAGGTGATGAGGGAGAGGGACATGCTGGGAGCGTCTTGGATGCGTGGTCGATGGACATGGCAGAAGGCGAGAGGCGGAAGGCTACGAACGCACTCGACATGGACAGCGTCGCCGGCAGAGTAGCGCTTACCACCGAAGCGGAATGGGTTCTCCCCAGGCAAGCTTTTCCCTTATGTACCAGCTGCACAACTTCGACCGTTAACAGTGCCCAACCAGTCGCTCGCCACAGCAATACCTTCGTCATCCATAGCCCCCGCCGAGGTACATGCGGGCCCTGACGGCAGAGAACCTACCGCTCCATCACCACGACATCGTAACAGACAGCTTCGGCGTAGCCAAGCATCAGTCTTCTCCGCATTGTATATCTTACGCTTTCGACAGGACACTACGTCTCCCTGTCTCCTTTGCACATACCACAGGTGCAGTCTCCCTCAGCAGTGCTGCTAGAGCTGTAGTAGAAGTACAACCCACACGACCGCAATCTCCGCCTTCTCTCCTTCCCGGAGCCCATCTGTTAAGGCCTGCTTCCTCTGCCCCGCTCTTCTTCCTGCTGTCATGCCGCATGGCGGCACCCCTAGTGCATCCTACATGCTCTCTACGGTGTGCAGAGTACACAGGAAGTGGTCGAATCGCAATGGCCGATTACATAACTATATGCAGTACCCCAGACACGACCACACCGACGAGTAACATGGGAAGGGTCAAGAGCAGACTACGCGAGCGTCGAGAGACGAGGCCTGGTACGTTATTGCATGCTCTACATACCCAGCTCGGTATTCGTATGTTTCCCTTTGTTCAATGTACCCCTTCCCGGCCTGGTCCTACAGCCACATGCAGACGAGCACTGCCGAGAACGCTTTCTTACCAGTCGCGCGTCTAAGACAGTTTCTAGCCGGACCAAGGCTTCCCCTGCGTGGCAGTATTTATCGCAAGACCGGATCTCCACGATTCAAGTCTGGTCTTACCTATCCGGAGACCGTCTTTGTCGCTCTTTTGCTATTGTGAGTTTCAGGTTGACTATCTGCACCCATGTGGCTTGTCGGCGAGTCCCCTTCATCAGGAAAACCCTCCCGTCAAAAAGTCCCTAGAATACGCGAGAAAGATAGACTTATCAAGGAAACTGAGGAAAATGGACGTATGTCCAGAAATATGAGCACAAGCTGAGAGTTCTGCAGACATTCAGATGAGACCTCTGGCAAGCTGGTAGAAATTCATCAGCGTCGAGCATCAAGCCCGTAGTGAGCGCATTTTCGCGAAGTGTCCAATTGCCCTTTTGGACAGATTGGCGCCCGCCCAACTTGTGCACTCTCCAACGCTTGACGCACTGCACTGGGACGCGTTTTCAGGCATTATAGACGTGTCATTATACTCCTCATACCTGTTCTTCTCTATACAAGTAGACGTCTACAGGTCTGTGGCCGTCCGACACCACTGGGCGGCGCGACGCGCGTGTTTCCCGTTTTGGACCTGGGGTTTCCTGATTCGAACTTGGAATAGGCGCTGGCTGATCCGCCCGAACACGTAACCGACGCCGCCCGCCATCGCGCCATATTGCTGGCCCGTGTTCTGTCTCTACCAACACCCTCCCTCTAGGCTTACTTCTTCTCTAAGCTCTGAGACCCTTACGCCTCACTCTAACAGCTGTGGAGTATCTCAGGACCGGACACCTAGGAGAAACGCGCCCACGTGACCGTGCTTGGCAGTGCTGGAGGACTAGTAGAGTGGGATGGGGACGAGCACCGAGGCTCGCGATCCCTAGATGAGCTTCATTTCTGCTTTGCTCCTCTTTCCTGCGTTTTTTCCCCTCCTTCTCCTTTCATTTGAACCATCTTCCTCCAAGTGATTGGCTTTCAGTGTTGACCGGGACCATTCATCCTTTTTCCCTGTGATCACACCGTTGTCGCCACCCTCTGTATAGTACCTCTCTATCGTACTATACAAGCACAGACCCTCGTAGCTCAAATATACCCCCTTTCTTCTGGTTGTGTCAATACAAAGTCGTGCCGTAGCAACATTTCTGTGCCGTATGTCCGTGAGTCCGTCAATGATCGCAGCTCAGCCGCCATGTTGTAACTGCACAGGAAACTGTCCCTCGCGATTCCCAACACATTCAAAGTGTGCCACGCAGGCATGCAAAGATACGTACGCGTGGAAGACCTGTGACATGAAACCGAGGGTGGACACCAAGGTCATCTTCGCCCCGTTGCTCGCAAGGGAGAAGAGGGAAGTGGTAGCGGAAGAAACAGGGCTGTCGAAGACCTCGTACTCGTCTTCCTGGAATTGTCTTGTACCACCCCCTATACCCCCCATCCACTACGGACCCGATGTCTCATGTATGATTGAACATATTCTGCACTTGTAGCTAGCGGCCCTGCCTACGGCACTTGGGAAGCGACGCAAGTGATTAGTATACATTGAAAAAGGTAGACATATCTTTGTCGGTATTCACATAGAACGCAGTACATTTCTCCAGGACGTTCTCACTAGTCCAATCCGAACGTGCGGGCCCATTCCACTTGGGCGTAAGGTGAATACTTCGCTGAATCAAACCAACCGGTATGACGGATACAAGGCGCTCACCATCCTTCAGAGAGCGCGACACCTTGTAGAACCCAGAGGTCTTCTCCGGAGAAGCTGAGAACTTAGAGAACCACTCGACATATGCAAGATGCCGTGGTGGACGCTGCTCAGGTGGCGCACCGGGGAAGTAGTAGGCGAGTGCAGCATCAGGTAGTGTGAACACTACACGAATCTGCCCAACGCGCAAGTCTAATACAGTTTCATCAGTACAGATATTCAATTCAGAATCGCCCCGGTCCAAGTTGTCTCTCTATGAGAATGACCGCACTTACCATGTAGCGGGATTTGAGCATCATGCACTTGCACATGCGTGCGCATGGTAGACTCGGCACCAGGCATCTTGGAGTGACGCATACGGATGAGTGCGGTATTGAAGCGAGCAGGGATCACAGTGTCTTTGAGGTCACCTTCATTGACTCGACGGGGATGGACATGAATGGAGTCGCGAGTTTCCTGTCCGAACACATGCTCGTTCCAAAACTTGATGCGATGATAGACGGGGAGGTGTGTGAATGGAATCAGAGTCTCCGAGATACGGTTTTCGAGTTGGTACAAAGTAAGAGTTGGGTGACGGAACTGGACGATGAAACGGCAGATAGCGGCACCGATATGCTTTGCACAGTACCCCATGGGAGACGCAAGCTCGTGAAGAGACACTGCCTTGCGCGTAGGGTGTTGTGTCATCTTCACATGCAAAGCGCATGCGAGATCCGGAGGCTGCCATCGTTGATCATGCCGAGCTGCGAGGGTTGCGGGGCCAACAGAAGCTTGTTGAGAGCGCCAGGAGATGTAGCTATCGTGATGCAAGACCTTTTCGCGACGCTCCAGCCACTTGGTCATCTGTGGAAATTCGTCGCGGTGGTTTGTCGATCAGTACGCGTCCTTAGCGAAATCGATGTGCAGCCGTTCCGAAGTCTCTGTATTATAGTTGTCAGTAGTGCCATATAACTTGACACACCGGACATAGTGTAGAAGCGAGTGCAGTTTAGGAATGTTGAAGCCGGAGGGGATATCGAGATCGAGAAAGACATCACGACTCTTGTGGAAGTCGTAAAGACAATTCTCAAGTGCCTTGAGTGTTGTGTCGTCGTGAATGGGATATTGAGCCAGGAATGCGAAGTGTAGGAGACTGCGAGTAGCACAGACCAGGCGGTCGGCATGCTCGCGTGGGAGGTCCATGTCGACGACAATGGAGAGGAGGAAGCGGCTGATCTGCCGGTGTTCGGCCCCAGTCACGCGGGACAGACCAGTGATACCTTTATGGAATTTTCGAATGCTGTGGTTGTAGGGAAGACAGCGAACTCGAGCATCGATCTCCGTGGCACCGCATGCGTCCTTGAGCCAGGAGAGGAGATGTTTGAAGACACCCTGGTACACTTGGTGGAGGACATCAGCAGTGACGGAACGGAATATATCCGTGAACGGTAGGTCCTCCCAGAATGGATGTTGAACGGGCTTGATATTAGCGTCCTCGCATGCCTGAACAAACGTGGGAGTGTCGAGTGACCTCATGGCCGCCAGCGAGGCCTTTATGTCACGATACGGGTGGGACAAGGGGAAGTCTCCGAGCTCGTCATGGGGGCAGGTACAGATGGGACAGTCTCCATTGTAAGCGCAGGTCACCAAACACTGCTCAGGATAGTCTCCAACGTATGCAGCAAGAATGGGATGACAACGACGTGCAACGCCGTCACCGCTAGTCATGAGCGTACCATGGGCACCTGCAGCTTTGAGGGGTTCGAGAAGCTTGGACATGCAGGCATGAAAAAGGTTGGCGAGGACACGACGGCGGGCAGCTTTGTTGGCGATGTGCTCTAGTCGACTGGTTGGAAGGTACGCGAGCAGGATTTGTCCTTGACGTCCGGGCTTCTGGCGAATGGACTTCGGGAGGTTACCAATCGTCATATACACGGGATACGCTGTCTTGTTGCGGAACAGAGTGAGCTGGGTTTTGTCGGATGAGATGATGACCGGGATGACAGTGGCACCCGGATTCTGCTCCTCAAGTGTCTCCTGAGCTGTGCATTAGCGTTCTGCATGGGTTATGACAGATATATCATACCTGAATCGACCACCACCATTGCCCAGTATGCATGTCATGATATAAACGGATCTTGCGATCTGCGTCGGCATAATGGCGTTCGTGTCACAGCCAACGAGCTGTGCCACCAGATAAACAAAGACAAAGCTTACTGGTGAAGGGGTTGGTGCTGAGAGCGAAGCAACCACAAGTGACACAGCAAGAGATGATGCAAAGATGTAGATTCCCTAGACTAGAAGGGGCAGTGAGAGGTAGGGCTGCTAGCTACCTTCAGAAGAGATGGGTGATCGACGAGAAGATCAAGTCTGAGGTTCCCTGCCTCAGACCCCCTACTATTTATACAATTACAACGGTGCACAGACCAGGTACCTATTTGTCCCTGCTTGGTCAGAGTCTGCTGACTCGTGTCCTGTCTCCTGACCTGTCACATGGTGTCCTCATGACTAACACCTGAGTCATGCCAAGTCCGGACTCTTGCTCATGAGTAAGCGCCCCCTGCTGGCATGTAGGTCACCTGTCCGTGAGCGAAGATGGGCGCT